ATCTGCAGAATCCTTGCAATTTGACTTGGCCACCATTAGAGTTTCCACAGATGACTTTTCTGAAGCAAATAAACTTGGACATGGGGGATTTGGATCTGTTTACAGGGTAATGACAAGTTAACAAGAACTTATAGCTTTGATATTTCTTGAATGCCACTTATATCATTTCTGTTTTTTCATTCCGTACCTATATATTTTTTCAGGGTAGGCTTCTCAATGGAGAAGATATAGCTGTAAAAAGACTCTCCACAAATTCTGGGCAAGGAGATTTAGAATTCAAAAATGAGGTCTTATTAGTGGCTAAACTTCAGCACCGGAATTTAGTTAGACTCTTAGGTTTCTGCTTAGAAGGAAGTGAAAGGCTTCTTGTCTATGAATTTGTCCCTAATGCAAGTCTCGATCACATCATATTTGGTATGTCTGGAATTATGCATTGTTTTCGTTTGACTTTGAATGTTTATTATAGAATTCCAATTGTGAAACATGTATGCAAGAAAACATTGTAATTGAAGTCTTGATTTTGCATTAATATATTTGCAGACCCAACAAAGCGTGCACAACTAGATTGGGTGAGGCGCTACAAAATCATAGTAGGCACTGCTCGAGGCCTCCTTTACCTCCACGAAGACTCTCGCCTTAAAATTATTCATCGTGATCTCAAAGCTAGTAACATCTTGATAGATGCAGAAATGAACCCCAAAATTTCAGATTTTGGCATGGCAAGGTTGTTCGTGCTTGATCAAACGCAAGGCAATACTAGTCGGATTGTTGGGACCTAGTAAGAATATGCACTTAACTGCCTGTGGGCTTATGTTTGCTATGTCAACAATTTCCTTTCCATATGTGTTGGTGAACGCGACATTCTTTTTGTTGATATGCAGTGGGTATATGGCTCCAGAGTATGCAATGCATGGGTACTTTTCTATTAAGTCCGATGTCTACAGTTTTGGCGTGTTAGTTCTAGAGATAGTCAGTGGACAAAAAAATAGTGGCTTCCAGCATGGAGAAAATGCGGAGGATCTTCTAAGCTTCGTAAGTGAAAATATAATATAGTTTTGGTATCTCAATACAATTTAGTTCAACGAATCAAAGAAAGAAAACTTATCTCTGTTCAAATTCACAAATCATTGCAGGCCTGGAGAAGTTGGAGGGATGGGACAGCTTCAAATCTAATAGATCCCACATTGAAGACTGGTTCAAGAACAGAAATAATGAGATGCATCCACATTGGATTATTATGTGTGCAAGAAAATGTGGCTGATAGGCCATCAATGGCTTCTGTTATTCTCATGCTGAATAGCTACTCCCTCACTCTCCCAGTGCCCTCCCAACCTGCATTTTATTTGCATAGCAGCATTGGAATGGACATGCCGTTACAATCTGAATATAATTCAGGGGCAATAAGGTCAAATCAATCCAAGAGTAACTCTGTCATAGTAATGGAATATGAGACTTTTACTGAACCGCATCCTCGCTAGTGGTTGAAGATCGATCCCTTTTGATTCATTTTAATTCTTTCTTATCTAATTCTATATGTTGTGGTTCATTGATTAATTGTTCAAGTAGGGTTCTGAATAAGGCTTCACATTCTTGATATCCTGATTTTCATGAATATCCTGTTTGTTGCTGTTCATTGTGGGATGCTTCACTTCCTGGAACAGTCCAGCAACTAACAAGTACATATCCTTGATCTACCATGTCCTTTTTTTCATTGTTAGTATCTAAGATAATGTAAAATATGAAAAGTTATTATTTTATTACTGTGTAGTAGCATCTATGGTTTCCCAAAGAACCTGATTCACTTTGGCACAAGGTGATTAGTAGCATCTATGGGGAGAGTGCCAATGGTTGGAACGCTAGCATTCCGTTGCGTAGTTCTTGTCGTAGTCCGTGGAATAATATTTCTCGTGGTTACCCTGTGTTTCTTCTTGGCTGTGACCTTGTGGTGGGTAACGGGGACAAGGTGAGATTTTGGGAGGATGATTGGAGCAGGGGGGGTGTTCTCAAAGAGGTTTTTCCCAGACTTTTCAATCTGTCCAGCAAACAGAATGCCAACATTTCTGCTTTTGTGAGTCACGGTGTGTTTCCTCACAGTTGGGATCTTGGGGGAATTTGACGAGGTGACTAGGCTGCTGGTTATCCTTGATGAAGTTAGGATTAACCCTTCTAGGAGGGATTACAGAAGATGGAAGTTAGATCAATCAGGGTTGTTCTCTTGCCACTCCTTCTATTCCTTCATTCAAGATAACGGGTCTGCGGAGAGTTTCCCCCCATACAATCTGATTTGGAAAAGTAAAACTCCTCCAAAGGTTAAGGTTCTCGTTTGGCAAGCTGTTATTGGAAAAGTTAATACATGCGACCTCTTGCAGAGACATCGTCCTTTTAAGTGCTTATCCCCCCATTGGTGTGTGTTATGTTATTCTGATGGGGAATGTGTGGATCATTTGTTCATTCATTGTCCTTATTCGATTCAGATATGGTGGTTACTGCTGAAGGAAGTTGGAGCTGTCTGG